TGGAAGCCTCTCTCTGTTTCATTCCTCTTGCTAATTTTGTTTCTGTGCTTTGGTGGTAGAAAACCACATCAGTGCACGGCACTTGCATGTTCACAGGCAGACAGGAGCGGCTGCTAATGTTTTGCGGGGGAGGAGGAAGCCTGCTTTCTGATATACAGTTCGGATGACTGTCTCTTGTGAATCATGGCCGGTGTATTGTTTTCCTCCTGAAGTCATTCCCTAGCTGAAGGTCGTCTCCAAGTGCACGTCTGCCCAAACACACAGCCTTGCATGGCGGGTGAGACAGACGGATCTTGAGGGCTGCACTATGAGGCCTCTACTGCAATGCAGGAACGGATGTGGGTCTTATCTCCCTGGTTCCACTTCCAGAGGCTTGCTCTGCCACCAAGCCTTCCAACTGATTAGGTCAAGATGATGAATAAGCCTGCAAAACATAACATCAAACTCCCCTGAGATGCCTCGCTGTTTCCAGCCAGGACAAAAGCATCTGTGTTTTTAAATAGTGAGACCGATGGTGCAGGAAGTTTTGAAACATGCTCCTTCCTCTTAGTGGTTCATAGGACATACACACAGAAGCTTTCGCCCTCCGCCCTCCAGAAATAAATTACACAGGTGATTTCCATCCCAAATGAGAGGCACTTCTAAAATACAGTGGTACCTCTGGTTGCGAACGGGATCCGTTCCGGAGGCCCATTTGCAACCTGAAAAGATCGCAACCCACGTCTGCGCGTGCGTGGGTCGCGATTTGCCGCTTCTGCGCATGCGCGTGATGTTATTTTGCACGTCTGCGCATGCGCGAACGGTGAAACCCAGAAGCAACCCGTTCTGTTACTTCCGGGTCACCACGGGACGCAACCAGAAAACACACAACCAGAAACTAAGTGGTTTCTAGCTGTAATGCTTTAAGAGATACGAAAAAAGGTTTACAAATGGGTAAGAGCTTAATGGCAAGGATTTGCTGAACTAACAAACTGAACTGGAATACAAAAAAGGGAGGCATGAGGAGGTCCGGGGAAATAAGTGTAAGGAAGATATGCTATGGAAAATTAACGTGTTTTTAACTGTTTTTATTTTGTATGTTTCTTTTTATCTTTCATTTTTTTGTTATATCTTAAAAACTTTATTCTTTTTTCTGTATTTTGTATTTTCTTGTATTTTTATTTTTTGTTGTTGTGTAATTTTTGTATTCTTTGAAACTTTAATAAATATCATTTAAAAAAAAACAGAAAACACGCAACCTGAAGCAAACATAACATGAGGTATGACTGTACCTTTTGCAATTCTGATATGTTAGCCAACTGCCACCAATCTCTCAGATGATGGGTTTTTAATCTGCAGTGCATGGTTTTCCTTCTCATGCAGGTATTCTTCAAACGATACATAGGAAGTTTCTCATGGTCTCCTTTTAGATGTGGTCAGGATTGACCATACAAATGCTGTGTCCGTTGAGTTTCAGGTTGTTGGCTCTCATCCAGTCCTTTACCGAGGCAAAGCAACAGTCCAGAACATCTACTGCCACACCCACAGGTGTAAAGGAGAAGAAGGGCTATGCCAAAAGACAGTTTAAGAACTTAAGTTTAAGAACTGCTGGATCAAGCCAATGGCCCATTTGGTCAGGCATCATGTTCTCACAGAGGCTAGCCAGATGCTTGTGGAAAACCTGCAAGCAGGAACACAGCAGAACTTTCCTGTGGTTTCCAGCAACTAGAATTCAGAAGCAGGTGGGCTCTGGTGGTGGAGCACAGCCATCAAGCCAGTAATTGTTATCCTCCATGAATTTGTCTAGCCTTCTTTTAAACCCGTCCAGGTTGGTGGCCCCCGCTGCCTCTTGTGGGAGTGAGTTCCACAGGCTGCGTGAATAAGTACTTTCTGTTATCTGTCCCGAGTCTTCCAACGCTTAGCTTGGCTGGATGTCCACGAGTTCTGGCGTTACAAGAGAGAAAAACATTTCCCTGTCTGCTTTCTCCATGCATAATTGTCAACACCTCTTTTGTGCCACTGCTTTTGCCCCTCCTTTTCTCCAAACAGAAAAGTCCAAAATGCCGCAACAACAAGGGAAGTTGTTGCTCCATCCCCTGTATCAGTTTCCCGAACCTTTTCCCAGCTCTACAATATCCTTTCCAGAAGACTTGGTTAAGTATTCTGCCTGTAAGTCATCTTGAGAGAGAGGCAGAGTATGGATAATGATAAGGCCACAAATTGTTAACAGCCCCCTTGACAGACAGCAGCAGAAATAGTTTTCCACCTCCCTCCCGCCCAGCTTGTAGCTGAATAGCTGCCTTTCCCCAGAAGCTTACAGGTGAATTGCCTTTTTTCAAAGCCGCCTGACAGCTACCTTTCTGCCAAGTCCTCAGCAGTGTTCTTGACAGGGCCATGTGAACAAATGTGTCAGATCTCCTTGCTTGCCTCTCCATACAGCCTGACAGTTCATAAGGGTAAAATGCCAGGTAGACCTGACATATTTGTTCAAATGTCACTGCCGAGCATAATGTTCAGAACAGAGGATGCTAGAAGCATGCAGGAGGGAGGGACAACAAGCTGGTCACAGCACGCAAAAGGAGCATGATGGAAAGGTGGCAGTTAAAGGGGAAAGAGAACACACTATTTGCCTTCCTCAGTCATAAAAGCAGAGGAAATATGTACACCATGTTTTTTTTAAAAAAACAACAACCGAGGAAGGGCCTCGTGGTGGCGAAAGCGAGCAAACACAAGTGTCACATGGACTGGCATGGTAAGAATGCTAACTTCATTCTTCTTAATAAATGCAATCAAAATGTTGACTTCAAAATGTGGCCTTTTTTTCTTTTCTTTTTTACTACCCAGAATCAATAGACATTGTTTGCAGGTAAAAATTTAATGCACAAATTAAATATACAGTACAGTGGTACTTCGGGTTGAGTACTTAATTCGTTCCGGAGGTCCGTACTTAACCTGAAACTGTTCTTAACCTGAAGCACCACTTTAGGTAATGGGGCCTCCCGCTGCCGCCACACCGCCAGAACATGATTTCTGTTCTCATCCTGAAGCAAAGTTCTTAACTCGAGGTACTATTTCTGGGTTAGCGGAGTCTGTACCCTGAAGTGTATGTAACCTGAAGGTACCACTGTAGAGCAAAGCCTGTAAGGAATTGGAAAGGGGGCGGCAGAAGTATGCAACCTATTCAGTTATAGGGTTGCCATTTTCCGTTTGGCTAGGGGGCCTTTGCCTTTAAAAGCTGCGTTAGGAGTAGCAGCAGGAGTCACAGGTGTAGCACCTCCACCAGCGCCCAAGGTGAGTGTGCGCTCATGTTCACCTGGCCCTCATCGCCAGATGGGGCATGAGCTTCACCCTCCACAAGCCCGTCCCTCGCCCTGGAGGAGCAGGCCCTTGCGTGCCAGATCTCTGCTGGGAGGGCGCCTGTTTTAGACCCCCCCCTCCAAGTGCGCCCAGGGCAACAGCCCACCTGATACACCCACTCTGCATATGTTTGCTACAAGAGTGGAAAACCTAATTTTAAGAAACTGTATTAAAGTAATTCAGTTTGATTTGTAATAATTTGGAAAATCAATAAAAATAATTTGGAAAATATAGTATTTGATACAATATACTGTAGTGTGTGTATGTATGTGTGTATATGTGTGTGTGTGTGTGTGTTATTGGTTTGTGGGAGTTGTTCTCATTTTTATGAGGTATTTTGAACCACCTTGAGATCTATGGATGAATTTAATTCATACAAATTTAATTATTTATTTAATAATTAGCAATAATTTAATTTATACTGTAACTCATGCTGAAGGCTATCCTCGAATGTTGGGTCTTACTCCCAAGTACTCCCTTACAGTGCAAACCTATACATATTTACTTAGAAGTAAACCCCACGGGGTCCAATGGAATTTACAGGGAAATACACCTGCAATCCTCTAGTTTCCCTCTCTGTAAAATGGGGATTCTGTAGCTCTGGGATTTTGCTGCGAGGGAAATTCAATGGCAATCCCAGAGATACTTTGCCGATTAAAGCAATAGCAACCCCGCAGCTTTCTCTATGCAAATAGTACGAGATGAATGAGACGGGAAGGTGCGTTGAGTAAATAACGATTAAATTACCCCTTTCGTATTTGCACCTCGATACTTCCCTGTTGGACAAGGCAACTAGTCATCAGTGCTCGGGGGGTTCTTCGTGTGCCAAAAGCGAATATGAAATCTGCTCATTCATTTCTCACGAACAACTTCCTTGCACGGAATCGCTCTTCTCGAAGCCGTTTCTCAGCTTCGACTTTCGTCCCCACCCTCTTTGGCCCGGCTCCTTGCTTTATGGCGATGGCAATACAAAGAAGATTTAACTGGGGGGGGGGGGGGTTAGGTGGGGAGATAGCTTTCTGCTAAGCCAGCTCCTCAATATGTCAAGGTGACAGCGACAACCCGTCGCTCGCTCCAATTCTCTGTTTCCCATTTCCCCCTCGCCAGCTCGAAGACAGAAACGAACATGCTTCAGTCTCGTTTCCCCCGAAATCCGACCCGGGGCTGTTGCTCGGCAAGTTCAGATTGCCCAATCGCGGCGCAGGACGACGCGGCCCCCCGTTCCCACGCCCAGTTTCCTCGCAGTGCTCGGTTCAAAGGCGCCTCTCGGGTTACCGCAGGGGTGTGTGTGTGTGTGTGCACGCGCGGGGGGGGGGGTTAGGAAGAAGAGGGGCGGGTGTGTGTGTGGGTGTGTGTGTTTGCACGTGTCTGCAGTGCCTCTTGCCGTGCAACAAACTTCGCCCTGCCTGGAACAAAGTGCCCCTTTTTTTTTTGCAATGCAAGCGGTCCCGGTTCTCCAGGGCGCTCCGGGTGTGCGTGAGAACGCGCACATGTGCACGCGCCTCGCTCGCTCGCTTCCTCCCACCCCACCCCCAGAGTTTAGAATCCCAGCTATGCAAATAAGCGAAGCAGCCAGTCCCTCCCCCGCCCTTGATTGGGTGGGCTTGGCTTAAGGCGAGGCAGCAAAGCGAAGGGAAAGAGGAGGAGGCGGAGCCCGGCTTGGAATGCGAGCCCGGACTGACGGCGCGGCTGGGCGAGTCAGGGAGAGCTTTGCAAATAAAAGCAGAGGGGGAGGGGAAAGGGAAGGAAGGCAGGCGAGGCTTCGCTTCGCTTCGCATGCAAAGCTCCACCCCCCGATGGTGCAGCTGCCCGGGCCGAGGGCTTTTCAGGAAGCGGTACTTAAAACGGCTCCAGAGGAACATGTGAGAAGCAGTCGCCGCTGGAATCCGAAGGGCGAGGAGGAGGAGGAGGAGAGGAGCTGCAAGGGGAATGGGCGCCGCTGGGTCACATGCGGGAAGGGGCCGAGCGAGCGCCGCTGCCCGAGCCTGAGGTGCGCCGCCGTCGGGGGCAGAGCGGGCTGAACGCGGGGAAGGAGAGACGCCGGGGCTCCTGCTCCTGCCGCCGCCTCCGTCTCCTCTTCTGCCGGCTTTCCCTTGCTCCGTCGACGCTGGACCAGCAGCAGCCCTTTGGCTCGGGCTGGGCTGCTTCGCCTTGGGGTCGGTCGCCTTTGCTGCAGTCGGCCAGCGGAGAGGCGAAGCGAAGAACAGACTCCGGTAACTTCCTTCGAGGCTTTTGCTTCCTTGCTTAAAAAATGAAAGAAGCTACTTGTCGAGGGGCGCTGAATTAAAGAGAGGATTTGGTGCTCCTTCGCGTGTTAATTTTTTTTTTTAAAGGGGAAAAGTCCTTTCTTGCTGAGATGATTATTTTTTGTTTAGGCGCATTTAACTTGGAAGCGAGCGCTCTTGTATGCAAGTGCGGCTGGGCTTCTGAACAAGGACCGGGTTGCAGAGCAAACGGGCGAGCAAGGTGAAAAGTGCTTTCCCCCCCCCTCAAAAAGAAAAAAAAAACCCTCGCAAATTCCAAAATTAAGGACTGGGTTGCGATTGCTCGGCGCACCCACCCACCCCTTAAAAAAATAAATCGCATACTGCGGGTCCTACTTCCAAGGAAAGAGTGGCTTTTGGATTGCAGCCTTGAAGGGCGATCCTAGACGTGTTTCCCCCCCCGAAGTGGGAGTCCCGCGGACTTCCACGGGACGTGCTTCGGAGTTGGTGTGCATTGCAGTCCCCTGGGGGCTTCTCTGTCCGGGGAGGTGGGGTGAGTACATCGGGCTGGGGGGGAGGGGAGGACTTAAAGGGCCGTGCCGAAGCAGACGGAGGGGAGCGGGTGTCGATCCCAGCCGTAGAGTCAACTCTTTAAAAAACGGAAGAGCTGTCGACTCCCCCTCCGGGCTTCCTGGCCAGTGAATGAAACCAAAGCGCCTTGCGCAGGAATTGGAGCGGAGCCTTCGGCTCATTGCAGGCTTGCCAAGAGTTTTTTCCACGCTTTCAGTATTGTGCATTCATTAATCTGGAAGGGTCGCCCACTGCTCTGCTGCCAGGATTAGGCCCTCTACCACTGCCACATCGCAGTATCCAGATCGCCACTGTTGCACCATTCGGGGCAATTGTGTGCGAGGGTGACTAATCCGCGTTGAGTTTCTGTCCTCTGCAAACAATAGAGCTTCTCGGAAGGTGGTGCCCCTCCTATCGCTTGGGCAAAAACCTCTCAATGACCTTCCTCGATCCTGGTGTTGCAAAGCAGCGAAGGGAAGGGAAGGGAAGTGAGTGACCGTTGAGCTCAAGGAACTGGTGACAGTGTCTTTTCTGCACTTCCTTTTTTGCTGGAGTCATCCTTGGCTTTAAGCGCCACACGGACTGCCAGGCTGTGGGATTTGCACTGAAGGGGGATGGGGAGGCAGGCTAAACTGCAGTCCTAATCCGAATTCAATAGGACCTACTTCTGAGTAGACAAATGGAGAAAGATTTGACTTGGCCGTAACTGGCTTGAGAACATTCTTGTATGTCAGGACACATTTACCTAGGGCAGAGTAAGCTTCTCATGAAAAAAATGCTGTTCATCTGGGCAGAATTTCAAGTAAATAAAGGCTGGCTTGTTCCACGATGAAAACGGAAGAATAGGTAGACCTTCACCCAGATGCTTAGGGAAGTTTTTAATGTTTGATATATTGTTGTGCTTTTAATATTTTGTTGGGGGCTGCTCAGAGTGGCTTGGGCAACCCAGTCAGTCAGAAGGGCGGCATATGCCTAATAAAATCATTATTAGTTTTATTAGATGTGTATAAAGCAAACCTTGGCTTCACGAGCAGTAAGAAGTCCCGATTCTGAATATTGCACCAGTTTAATAGATGTTCCTTTGTAGAAGCCAGTCTAAATCTGTTTCAAATATATATTCATACTTTTCTGTATCCCCCAACCCTCTGTGCACACATTATATAACTTGTAAGGGTCCTTTCTAGCAATGTAGATACCCCAAACCGAGAGTTGTCTTAACCACCTGGAAATGCGGCTCTTGATCTTCCAATTAAAATATTCCCAGGCGCTGGAGCATCGTGGCTTCTGTGTATGTGTGCCCAACCCCATACAAAAAAACTTTTCCCCCCCCTTTTGGAAGCTGCAGTGCCGGAGAAAGTCCTGCAGGTGGCAGGGCAGCTTGTCGGCTCCTTCGCTGCTTAGTCAGAAGCGGCTGGTGCGTGTGATTCAGGCGGGATGACTGGCTGTTTGTGGGAATGCGAAACTACCTCAGAGGCTCGGGAGAGGGAATGACGAGGCAGTTCCCAGCCCGCAAGTGGGGCGGCGGCGGCGCGCAGGGCGACCCGAGGGATGTGCGTTTCTCCTAAGGTCTCTCTTGAGGAATCCGCCCTTCTGGGGAGGAGCCGCTGCAAGGACAGTTTCGCATTCTCACATGCTCTTCTTACTCATTCGGTTCCGAGCTGCACACGGAATCTGGTCAACTTCCAGTGACTTGGGTTCCGGGAGGGGGAGAGATCACCCTGCGTTTCCCTGAGGGAGAGACTTTGTGTATGTATCTGTGGGCACGGGTTTGGGAAGTCAGTTGGCATAGGTGTGGGGTGTGTGTGTGTCATAGGAACCAACTCCTGGGGCAGAGGCCCCTTTGCCCCTGCCCCAATAAAATATTGGAGGCGGCCAGCCCCGAAAGTTGATGGGCATTGCCAATCAAATGGTGTTCTTGTGATCAATTATGCGGGGCAGAGCTTACCTGGGGACACCTCCCACCCAATATTTTATTCCCAGTTGGCACTCCTGGTGTGTGTGTGTGTGTGTGTGTGTGTGTGAATAGCTAGCTAGCTAGCTAGACAGAGATAAGTCTGTCTGCATGGGTCTTTGGGAGACAGAAAGGAGCAGCCAGACTTGCATTTGTATGAATAGGAAGGAGCCACAGTCTTGTGCCAGTAAAGGAGAAAAGGTAGATCCCACCCTGTTCCAAGGATGTATGTGAGGGAGGGCGAAACAAATGTTGGTGTTTTTAGATAATGGTGTTTACTTGGTTTCAGTCTTTGTATTTGCTAAGGACTGCTCACATGCTGTAAACAGGTGTGTTGTGGTTTTTGTGTCAACCCTGAGCCCCGCTAGAAGGGAGAGGCTAACCTCTTTCTTTCTTTCTTTCTTTCTTTCTTTCCCACCCTTCCTTCTTCTGCCCTAGGTGCCTGTGTGACTTGGAAGGAGACCCTCAAAGCGATGGAAACCGAGCTGGGACTTCCCTGCGCAGTTCAGCCGGCCTGCTGCCAGGAGGTGCCAGGCTCTGCTCCTTCAGAGGCCTTTGCTATGCCGGCAAGGATCTCCGGAAAGATCCCGCCGGTCAGGCCTTGCTTCAAAAAGAAGGACGTGCAGAAGCTGCTGGACACAGGGGCACTGAGGGCTCTGCGGCCCATCATCACCACCTTGCTGGGGTCTGGCGCCCTGGATGCGTTCCTCCGGCGCAGAGGACAGAAGAGCAACCGTAGCAACTTGCATGAACCTGTCGCGAAGAAGGTCTTGGGGATCGCGGCTCCCTGCGCTCAGCCGGACAGCAACATGGCAGTGCTGGTGGCAGGGACTTCGGACGTTCAAGGACAAATATCAGACGGGTCTCCTGACCAGGAGGCCCAGCCTGGGGAGCAGAGTTTCTCCTCCGTTACCTCTTCTGCAAGCGAGCCATTCCAGGACCACTCCTTGCATGCTGCCTCCAGCGATGCTGCTGCCTTTCTTTCCTGCCCTGACAAGATACTTGAAGGTTATCCTGTGGTGCTCCAGGACAACAACAACAGCTTCATGGGTCAATGCCACTTGAATCCGGCGGACAAGTTTGGAGATGGGCTTTTCCAGGACAAAAGCGAGGAGGCGTCCCTCGACCTTGTGTTTGAACTCTTGAACCAGCTGCAATATCACACCCACCAGAAGGATGGGGTGGACATCTGCGTGGATTTTCTGCAGGGGGTCTGCCTCCTCGGCAGCGATTGCCCCAGGCACCACACGGTCTTGCCCTACCACTGGCAAGTCAGGAGGACAGCCACACAAGTGTGGCAGAGTGTGACCACTGACTCCCAGGAGCAAATGGAAAGGCTCTACTGCAACCCGGACAACGACAAAGTCAAAATGAGATACCGGTGAGTGATAAGATGCCCTTCTTGCCTTAACTGTCATTGTGTTAAACGTAAAGGAATCTTAGCCAAGTCTGGGGAACCCTTTTCTCAAAAGTGCATTCTTGCATATAGCCTCTATTACCTTGAATTATTGACCTACTAAAATTCCTTTGACTTTTAATTAGTAGCTTTTTAGGTGGCACGCCCTTAATCTCTTCAAAAGTATCCATGTAATCTCAGGTGAGCTGATAACTGAACAGCCCAATTTAAACAGGCTTTCATTTAAAACAGGGCTGGGGGGCATCTATGTTTTGGGATCTCCAACACTCAGCAGCCCCTACCTAGCATGACCAACGTTCAAGAATGCTTGGAGTTGTAGGTCAAACAGCATAGTTGGGTTTTTTTTCATTGTGTCCAGCACCCAGCATTCATGGACCTCAATGGAAACTGCCCAGCTAGATTTGAGAGGGTGCTTCTAAACCACAGCATGTTGATGCACATCTGATGAAGGGTTATTGGCCTATGCGCTTGAACTGTAAGAAGGCTGAGTAGACAGTAGGAAATAGTAGAACCAGTAAGTGGTGTGTTTTTTCTGTGTTATGATCTTGCTAAAACTTTGGGGCAGTAGAAGTGTGCTTTTGATGCATGTAAACAGCCATGGCGTTTGGACTTTAATCTTGCGCATTAACTAATCCAGAGTAACTACAGACCCTTGGTATCCACACTTGCCACAAGAGAAGTGGACTAAACTTAAGGCACTGGAAGAGTAGTCTACAGGAAAAGGGGAGAATCCACACATTGCTCTTGAGTGAATCCTGTCCCATATGAAGAAAAGGAGAGCCCGCTGGATCGGTCCAGTGGCCCATCCCAATTCCAGTATCCCGCTTTCACAATGGCCAAACAGATGTCTATGAGAAGCCCCAAAGCAGAAGCTGAACCCAACAGCACTCTCTTTGACTTTGATACCTGGAAACTTGGTGGAGATAGAACCTAGTCACCGTCACTAGTAACCACTGAGAGTGTTATTCTTGATGAATTTCTTTAATCCTAATTCAAAATTTGCTTTTAAGACAGTCGGTGGCTCTTGTTGGGAGCAAATTCCATAGTTCATATGCCGTGTAAAAAGAAAAAAAGTATTTTGTCAGCTGTGCATCTTCCAACATTCATCTTCATTGGGTTTTCCTGACTTCTAGTGTTAGGAGAAAAACTCAACCAGGCTGATTAAAGAGAGCTGGCCCATGTACATGTTTTTAAAGGAGTAGTGAATCTGTTCCCTTGATTCCAAAGGATATATGGCTATTTTCAGACCCAGCCAAGTTGGTGATTGACACATACAGCTCCATGTAAATGGAGTACAAGCTTTAGGAGAGCCAAGCAGGAGGAGGTCGCACCATATTTTCAAGGTGGTCCCATAACATCTGTAAAGCGAGCTCAACCACCTTGATCCACAGCCAATCCACCAACCCAAAAGATGTGTGTTTGGAAAACACCGCCACCCCTAGGAGCACTCACTCCACCATTTGGGGTCTGGCTGGCACGGTTGTGTTTTGGAAACAGAATAATAAACATTGCTTGGATTTCTTCCCTTTTTTTGTGCCACTTGCTGCTGCATACAGGGGGTGGAAGAAAATGTCAACAGAGCAGTTGTTCCTTTTATCTTGCACAGCTAAAGGAATTGTGGAATGTCCTCTTTTTAGCCAGCCTGCAAAGGCTGCCAGTGGAAGCCCTTGGAAGCTGAACTTTTGGTTATGCCTTCTCTTTCTCCCTCTCTCCCTCCCCTTCTGCCTTTCTGTCAAGGTGGCATTGCTGCATCTCTTTGATTACTGCACATGTCTGGGCTCTTGCGAAGGAACACAGAGTGTTCCGGATTCAGTCTGTGTACCTGCATCATTCCAAAGGAACTGTGCCAATTAGGGTGTTCTGGCACTTTTGAAATATGAACCAATTCCTTGTCACGCAAAGTAGTTGCAACTAGAGCAAATGGGTGGGGGTTGGGAGGCGTAAGGCAGGTTCTACAAGCATTCAGCCCTAGCCCTGGGCTCCTTGCCATTCAAAGTAGCTCCACTGCCGTGACTCGAGTGGACGCCCTGGTATCCTTTGTGACATCACAAGGGCTCCTGGGGCATCCTGCTGGGATTGCCTCATTGGCATCTGTAAAGAAACCACTGTTGCCCCAAGCAACTGGCTGAGTTGCTTGTGCTGTCAGGCTGGTCCTTCAGGCGCTGCCTGCAAATTCCAGACTCTGGCATGTGCTGCTGAACTGAGGCAGCAAGGGAACTCCTACAGGACTTGTGCTAACAAGGGAGGGAGGCAGCAGTGGGTTTTAAGTTGCAAGCAGTGCAGAGTTTAGAGTTGGGAGGTGAGGTGGGGGGGGAGGCCTGTCTAATAGCAGGAACAGCTGGGTGGTTGAACAGTTGCCTGAGGATGTTGTGGAATTTCTCAATCTGGCATCAAGGAGAAGCTGGATGAACTTCTGTTGGGGATGGCTTGGGTCTGAGGAATCCATAATGTACATGTTGTAAATAATGAGCCTGATAATCTCTCCATCTCCCTTCAGACTGTGCAGTACTAAACCTGAATAAGTGGTTCAAGTAGCATTTTTGTTTGTGTGCCAAAAGCATTCTTCTTAATGCTTCAGAGCTGTTTGTGTTTCATTGTGGTTATCCAGAGTTTGGAACTTTTGCTTTGAAATCTGGGAGCAGGAGGAGTAGATCTAAAAACCTTCATTCTGTTTTGTCACAACCTAGATAAAACACTGCTCTTTCTTGCAAGTCAGCACCTGGTGCTAATCTTCCCTAGTCCCTTATCTGAACACAAGGGCTCATTCTGCATCAAAGTGGAGTCACTTTGGATTTATTACTTTTCCAAGTTGTGTAAATTATTACTTTTGCTGTTGCTGAAATTGTAGCCAGGACATTGCTTCAACAGTTGCAGTTTCCCTGTGTGGAAATACCTTCCATGTAAAGATCATCATGAAAGCTACATGCAGTGCCCAACATTAGTCATATTTGGAATGGACTCATTGAAATCAGTGGACTGAAGTTCATTGATTGCGGCTTCCCACCCACCCATCCATTCATTCATTGATTGACACTCACAGAGATCTGCCTCCAAAGAAAACTTGTGCCTGTGATGTTTTATATTCACAAGTTGCAAGTTAGCATCAAGGCCATGTGTGAGGTACTGTAGAAACACCCACATGATTTTACACTTAACTGTGGCAACATCCTAATTAGTTTCTTTCCAGCCCAACATTTATCATCATTTGCAGGGAAGACAAAATGTCACAGAAGTTCCCTTGTAAGAAGATTTCATCATACCAATAAATATTGTATTCTTCTCAATTTCCTATGTGTAAGATGGCAAAGCTGCCATCTTACACTAGGACTTTAGTGACTGTTTCTGCTGCTATGCTTTCTTTCAAGAAAAATCCCATTTCCCACATACTCCTTGCATTTGTAGTATTTGTTGTTGTAAGGGAATTTTTTAAACATAATTCAGACTTGGTGTTCAAGACTGCCTTTAACAGGCATAGGCAAACTCTGCCCTCAAGATGTTTTGGGACTACAACTCCCATCATCCCTGATCACTGGTCCTGTTAGCGAGGGATGATGGGAGTTGTAGTCCCAAAATGTCTGGACGGCCAAGTTTGCCTATGCCTGGCCTTTAACCTCTTTTACAGGGTTGTATGGTTTCCTGAGGTGAGGCAAGAGAACTTCAGCTCCTGAGGTGATTCTTTGGTATCTAGATCAAGGGTTGGAAACTTTTGTTTATTTTTATATTAAAGTTGTATACCCAAATATCCCAGGGCGGTTCACAACATAAAACTACAAAACAAACAACTTTTGGCCTTTGGCTCCACCAGACTTTCCTGTTTGGAGCAAGTCATAGTCACCCATCCTACACCTGATGACATACAGGTAATGTGTGAGGAGCATGATTGAAGGGATGGGCAGCAAGATTTGGCTTTAAAAGGATGCTAGCTAATGCAAGCCTGACCCAAGTGAGGCCCGTTATGCACGATGGCTCACTAGTCATTAAAGCAAAACCTGAAAGGAGAGAACTATCAGCACTTAGGGGGGGAAACAAAATACTGTAATAAAAAACCACACCCTGGGCGATGAATCAGAATGGTTTTCTGTTTCTCCAGAGGGTAGTAGGATGTGAACCAGTCAGTTCAAATGAAAAAAGGATGTAGGCTAAACATTAGGAGGAACAGTAGAGTAGACAGCTCTTTGGTTTGAGGTTGTTTAAGCAAAGCCTGGATGGGCCACCTGTTGCAGATGTTTCAGAATGTCCTTATTAGCAGAGGCTTAGGCTGGGCTACTTCCGAGATCCTTTGTGAACTCTGGATGTTTGATCAGTCCAGGCAGCCCGGCTACTTCTGACTTAAAATGACTTGGGAATCTTGTAACTTTCAGAGGCTCCTGCAAGTCTTTGCCCTGTGGTCGATGCAACTTGGCTTTCCCCTTTCCTCCTCAGATGTTGTGTCTCCTGGCAACTGGGTGCAGATAGTGGCCTGTTCCACCTGGCCACCTTGAGCGCCTGAGTTTGTTTTGCCAGAGCCTCATGGTTCACATGGTTACCACCTCTGTTGGGCTAAAGCTATTAATCTCTCTTGGTCAGCCTAGCTTTAGAAGCTGAGCGATAAAGCTTGCATGCAACAAGGAAATGTCTGTTTCAGCAGTTCCAGGAGAGGACAAGCTGCAGCCAGTCTCGGATAGTAACCAGCAGGGGGGTTCTTTTTTCTTTTTTTATATCCCTTCCTTTGTTTTGAATACAGCTTACATGGCACAGTGACCCATCATTATGCTCTGTGTCCATAATATTGTCATTGTTTTGCGCTCCTAAGTAAGTTCGTAGGTCCTAAGCCATTGGCTCCCCTGGGGACTAAAGTACTTCTCTGTGGCTCACAAATGGCTTCTTTTTCAATAAGTATTGCCCCCTGCTTGTTCTAAAATGCGCATTTATTTATAGAGCGTTAGTGCCCTGCCCTTCAGCCAAAAAGGGCTCCCTTGAATGGCTTGTGTACAGTCAGTTAAAAAACTGGAGAGTCCCTGCCTGCAGGTTTACACTCTGGAAAACACGACACACAAGGTAAAAGGGACAGGGAGGGAAGAGGGGGGAAAGCAAACCCAGGTACTAGTTCTTAAATAGTAGTTTTTACAATGACCAACTGGCATAGAAACAGTTCAGGATAGATTGTGTGATACCTGCTCCCTCTCCCCCTTAATTTCAGGATTCCATCCATTTATTTTTTTTTGCTGTCTACCATGTGGTAAAGATGGAATACTGCCATATAAGCTCGCTGTGATGGAATGCAGGCATGTGTGCCCCTATTGTTGCTTAACACCTCATTCATTTCCATGGGGCCCTTACAAAAGAAGTTCCTGTTTTGATAAATAGGTAAGGGTAAGGGGACCCCTGACCATTAGGTCCAGTTGTGGCTGACTCTGGGGTTGCGGCGCTCATCTCGCTTTATTGGCCGAGGGAGCCGGCGTACAGCTTCCGGGTCATGTGGCCAGCATGACTAAGCCGCTTCTGGCGAACCAGATCAGCGCATGGAAATGCCATTTACCTTCCCGCCGGAGTGGTACCTATTTATCTACTTGCACTTTGAGGTGCTTTTGAACTGCTAGGTTGGCAGGAGCTGGGACCGAGCAAGGGGAGCTCACCCCGTCGCGGGGATTCGAACCGCTGACCTTGTGATCGGGTAAAGAACCTTCGGGTTGTAGTCCACTTACCTGGAAGTAAGACCCTGCAAGCAAAGTGGGGCTTGCTTTTGTGTAAAACCCTTACAGTTTGCACTGTAATGGGGTTCTAAAACACCTGCCATATTGAGGAAAATACCTAGGGTAGATACTGTTCTTCAAATGCAGCGTGCCATTGTTCTATTTCTTCTTCCTTTCTTTTCTTATAAATTTAGTTTTTAGAATTTCAGAGTTAATTTGGGGGGGCCAGCACTTGGCTGTAGTGCCGTTTGGTCCCCATGCTCATCTCAAGACAGATAACAAACATGCAGCAGAATTGAGATTTCCTGAGTTGGTAGGACAGAAAGCACTCGCCTGCAGGTAGAAAGCTAGCACATAGTGAACCACCCTTTCCTTGCTGCACTAATTCTCTGCTTAGCGGGACTTCTCATATTCTTATACAGAGGAACATTTTTTAAAAATGCACTTGGAGTGATAAAGTCCATTTTCTACAACCTTAAGATTTTTTCACCTGTAGGTCCACTTCCCTGTGAAACACTTATTGGTTTCGTTTTCCTGCATTGGAAGGAGTTCAAACAGGTTTTGTTTTATTCCACTCTGCCAATCAGCTTTTCCAAACTATTCATTGCTGTTCTAGCAACATAAGGTACATAGAACTACTGTCGAGGTGATGAGTTTGAGGCGTCCTCAAAACTTCCATGAAAAGAAGTGGGTAATAATATTGCCCAATATTATCAAGTTCATGCACTATGAATCTCTCCCCCGTCCCTTTCCAACACAGCTCACATTCTAAGTGGGAGAAAGTGGTTCTTAAATCTGTAGCATCTTGTTTTAAGTCTGCATGTTTTTCCGCTCCAAACACACTTCCTGGAGATGGGAGTTTGGCTTTGCTTTTGAAAGTTACAACTGAGTGATCTGCACAGCTGTTGAAATGAAGGAAAATAACCCCTTATGAATAAGAACAGATGAATTTTGTGATGTTTTCTCTATCCGCTCAGCTGTTTACTTTTGCTGGGTGCGTGTATGGGGGGGGAGAAGCAAAATATCTAAACAAGAAAGAGGTGAATGACTGCTGATTTCTGGTGTGCTGAGTTCCAGAGAATTCTTGGTATCCTCCCCACCACCCCTTTCAAAGCCTGTATTTACATATGAAGCAAGTCTATTGGCTTTTTATCTTGTGTGGATCTGGGAAAGCTGTAGAAGAGGAGTTTGAGGGGAATTGTCAGCAGACTCCTGTTTACTCCTGTTACTATGCAGATAAGATTGAGGGGGGAAGCAGCTGTCACCTGGCTCCAGGTCTAGGTCATCCTGTTCCTTCCGTGCCACTCTCACAGGAAAGGAAACTGCACATAGGTAAACCTAATAGCAGCAGCCAATCAGGCTTATTAACCCTTGATTAATAGTACTCCAAAGCAGTCTCTGCAGTTTATGATAATTGCTTTCCCCCTCCAAAAAAAGCCCCGGTTGCTGCAGAACCATCATTGCCCCTTCCCACAAGCGCTTCTCATCCAGGGCAGGTGTCTCCTTGCTGCTGCTGCTGCTGTTGAAGCTTAGAGAAAATAAGTGAGATGTAGGGAGGAACATTTCTGTGCTCCTCAATCTTTGGGGAGTAAAATGGGAGTTTCTGCCCGCTCCCTTTCTATGCAGTCGGGGTGGTTTTCCATTGTGTTTGTTTAAAGCACCTAGAGACTGTCATTGCAGCGAGTTCCGTGCAGAAGCAGGCAGTAGTTATGTTCAGATGCTTAAAAAAAACCCATACTTTCCATTATTGCAAGACACTGTGCTTGTGGTAAATGGTTTCCTAGTGTTGTTATTTATTAAATTTGTATACTGCCCTATACCCGCAGGTCTCGGTACAGATGGACTTTAATTAAGGGTGAGAAAAATCAGGCAAGTATTTGCAAAGGTATTTGTGCTAACTGAGTTCTCTTGAGCCTCTCTGCTACTTCTGTTCTGGCTCCAGTAGCCTTTGGGTGGAGAGGTCAAAGGCGTGGCACACGTGTGGACCAAGAATATACAGATTCTGCGCCAGTTGCATTGAGGTTTCTGGAACTTGAGAAGGTTAAGAGGGGTGACTGTGGAGAGCGGGCAACAGGAGGAGGAAACTGAAAGAGTGCTCTGTAAGGCAGAGGAGTGCAGCCTTTTGATCCCCCAAAGAGCCAAGCCAGAGGCTTACACTGGCCATGGGTGAAAAGGAATGGCGCTTCTGCCTTTGCCAGAATGGCCAGCTGTGCAAGTAGTCTGTCACCACTCCTCTTTCCCCATAGGCTCTGGCTGGGAGGGAAAAACTAGGGCTATGAGCCAATTATTTTGTATGGGGCGAGGGAGCATCCACAAACACTTCTTGTACCATAAAGCAGAAAGGCCTAAGTGCATGGAAGGAATGCGGTCCCTTAGCCCTGTTGCATAATCCACACTCCAACCTCAAACGTGAACATAGGAAAGATTTTATTGAGAATAAGAAACCAAAGAGGAAAGATGAAACTGTACTTTTAAGACAGGGATGGCCCTCCAGATGTTTTTATGGGTCCAACCAACAACTCCCATAAGCGCCAACCAGTGTTGGGGTTGCAGTTCAACCATGTATGGAGTGCAGCCCACTGGCTACCCCTGTTTTAGGAAGCTGAGTGAGTGTTGAAAGATCTAGCTAACCTATGGAAGAATCATTGTGAGAGTTCACTACCCACCCAGCCTAGGTAGGATCAGCTTGCTCAGGTTGTAGACTCAGCACTTAGCATTTGTCAACGGTCAAAGGTAAGGGACACAGCAATAAAGGCATGACTGTTCTGTATTTATGGTGTTTGCAGCCAGGTGGCTTTGACTGACAGGTTGGGTGCCTGGCACAGCTCAAGGGCTTGGCTGTGCATATGTGGGAAAGATAGACTAAGACACGGTTTGAGAAGTTAAGAGATAAGCGGCCAGCATGTTTATTAACACAGAAGTTTCCCAGCTTTGGCAATAGACATAATCTTAAAGGAGGCCTTCGGACAGTTTGTGCGAAAGTAGTGGGAGGTTGTGGAATGGGGAAAGGCTGGGTAATTTGTATGCCTTAAATGCGATCCCCAAGCAGGATAAATCCATGTCACCTGGGAGAGTTGGGAGCCTAGGGAAGGCTTCTCTTGCCTTCTGTATGAGGTTCTATAGTAGATCCTGCATCACACAAAAAGTGCATCCTTACTGATATGGTGATGTCTGTGAAGCTCAGCCTAAATCTGGGCATGAGCTGGTAATGTGAGGAACCAGCTCCATCTTTATTCTGATACAAGTGTGTTCCTGCCATTATGAATTCCTTGGGCAGATAAATAGTTTGTATATTTCTTTCAGCTTGACTAACCAGCCTGTTGGATAATCATTAGAATAAAACATTTTATTATTGGATTGGAGACTACTTGAAAAGTGACTTTAAATTATAGAGAGGCTATAAAACCAAAGTTGTCAGTGTTTTCCAGATTTGGATTTGAACGAATGAAATGTATTAACACCTTCCTGTTCCTTTTGTGTTTCTGATTTTGGGAATCCTTGATTTCTTTTTTTAAAAAGATACTCACTTTTTAGGCACTCTTTTCATTTTGAAGAACACAAGTTAGGTTTGGGAAGCCAGAAACTTTGGGAAACTGCCTTTTCAGTACCCTGTGATCAGGACTGTGCACTGTGGCTTAAATAAAATCTTATGCCAAGAAAAGATGGATTTTGCGTCCTATATAAATAATGTACATTTCCACAAATGGAAGGCCTTCTGCTTTTTCAAAGGCAGCAAGCAATTCTGTGATCTTTGAGTAGAAACAAGGTCTTGGCCATTTGAAATCTTCCTGAGCTCTCCCCTGGCTATGAAGCCATTGTCAGGTACTGGCCAGTCTCTCAGGTTTACCTGTGAAAATGCATACACCATGAAGACTAAAAATGTGCATTTAAAAAAATATAAAATTAGAGTTCTGTGCCCAGTATCATATTCTGCTTTTCTGTGGCTTTGTGTAAACTATCAGAAAACATGCTACTCTGCCCAATGAAGCATTCTTTTCTGAAAATCGCTGCATAGCCATGAAAAACCAACTTCCTTTCAGTTAGGCCCAACTCTCTTGCTTTTTGGAATGATGAATATCGACAACAACCTATTATAGCAAAGAAGAGTTTTGACTTTGCTGTTATGCAAGGAGCTCCGTTTTGTGCACTCTGGTTGCAAAACCTAGTTTTCCACTGGCCCGCTCCTGCTGGAGCGGGAACTTTTATAGAAATTTCCTTTGCTAGCGCATTATTTTGACAGATAACATTGGCAACAAAGCATGCATGTCACTTCACGCAGAGAGGTGCTAGTGCCCTGCCTAGTGTTTGCCAGTGCCCTGGAAGCTAAAACTGACTCTAGCCCGTTCTTCCTCCTCTCCTGATCCCGTGTTGCGCGAGATGCTCACAGCCAGGAGTTGCACTGGCGGTGGGGACTTCTTTGGCTTGTATTTTTGCCGCATATAAATAGTTACTGTTGCTAGGAGAAAAGGGGAACAAAGGGCTTTGTGAACCAGTGTCCAAGAGTGATTAAGCAAAACTTCACACTGTGTGTTGTGCATGGGGTGTTTTTCCTCCCTTCCCTCAGAACTGCGGTCTGTTTACTCCAGGCACACACCGCTTGACCAATGCTGATGAATCAATGCAGAGTCACCAGAGTAAGGGAACAGTTGTTGGACTGTAGCTGATGAGGCATGATGCCCTTTTCGTCCCACGTCAGGAGCATTCTGACCGGGAGACTGCAGCTAAACATTCTGTGCGCCCAAGAGATCCATGTGACGGTGGCCTGACTTTGACTTCACTGACTTGGCAAGGCCTTTAATGAGTTCAAACTTTAATGAAAGTTCAAACACGTTTTCTCCTTGTCTGTCTCTGCCGCCGCCCAGAATTTGCAGATTAGGAGTCATCTTGGTCACATTCATGCCACGTATTTTAAGCACTGTGATGCCACTTCAAGCAGCCATGACTTCCCCCCCCAAAGAATTCTGGGAGCTGTAGGGACTCCCTGTTCACCTCACAGTGATACAGTTCTTCTTTCCCAGGAAACTCTGGGAAAGATAGCTCTGCTAAGCGGAATAGGAGTCTCCGAACAACTCTGAGCACCCATTGCAAGCTGCAGCTCCCAGAATCCTTTGGGGAGAAGCCATTGCTGTTTAAAGTGGAACCATAGTGCTTTAAAAGTATGGCGTGAACATGGCCCTTCAATGCACCTTGCTTAATGGGAGGTTCTGTATATGGAAGGTCAGATAGATCCAGTCTTGTTGCAGTCGGTGTGTGGTGGTCAGAGCCCAGGTCACAAAATGCGGTTGAATAAATGAATGGCACAAGCAGACATACATGGCTAAAAGAACTTGGATGCCCCTCCATAAATCGGTTTATATTTTTATGACTCCTATGGCATTGAGCTCTTACAATGCTGCCCCAAAAAAATTCCTTTTCTCCCTCCTTTCTGAAATCATTCTTCCCTCTCAGAAGCTGCTGATTGTTTCTCCATTAATTTTGATGTTGGCTGGCAAGCATTTTTCATTTTAAACTGTATAATAAATGGCGATGAGTGCAAACTCTACGTGCCATAATTCCCTGAGGAAAAAGGGATTGGTTGTTAGGGCACTCTAGGAATTGTAGCTCTGTGAGGCGAGGAGGTGGTCTCCCTAACAACTACCAGCACCATTAACAAACTCCAGCTCCCAGGATTCTTTGGGGAGAAGCCATGACCGTTCAAAGTGGTATCGCAGTGCTTTGAATGTATAATGCAGATGGGGCCTTTGTTGACTATAGCCCCTTGAGTTTGGGCTACTTGCTAGCAGAAGGGAATTCCCTACCTGCTGGAGGAGTCACAGTGAAGGAATCTCTCACCTGCCAACTTCATTTGACAGCCTAGGTGAAACCAAGTGGGTGTTCTTGGTTGATCTTTGAGATCGTAGTGAGGCATGAGGAAGGAAGTAGTTTCCTTAAGTATGCTAGGTAGAGCTTCAGAAGCCAAAGCCACTTATTTCAAATGTGGCTACTCCCGGATGAGTTGTTTCTTGCTTCCCAGAACTTGCAGCCATATTGAATATTTTCTGCTACGACACACTGTGGCAGGGAGAACATTTCCTTCCCCAGCCAACCTCGTTTCCAAGTGGGTTGAACCCCTCTTCTCTCCTGTTTTGCTTTTAATTTCCAATTGGGAAGAAACAGGCTCTCCTGAGCACTAGTGTGCCTGCTGACTAACACAACGCTTTTTCCTGACTTTAGTGTTTTTCGTTTTTCGCTTGTTCCTCAGCTTCTATTTTCTTTCCCCCACCCCCTCTTTCCCCATCCAAGCAAACATCCATAGTGTCAGCGGAAGCTCATTCCAAAACATTGGTGCAGCTTCGGCTATTTTAAAACAGCAAACATGCTGGTAATATTTGTACCACAAATCTTGGTACCCCTTTGGTTCAAGTCAGGTACAGATATGTCATGGGATGGGGGCCAAGAGGAGTGTCTTCTTAGCGCTGTGCCAGAGTTACTTACATGTGCCTGAAATTAGATGAGCATAAAACATGTGGCAACCTCTTGTGGAGGTTTTTTAAGTGAGTGGGTGAACTTCAGTACAAAATACAAGTAAGCAAAATTCTTTGCCTTTGCATAGAGGCCAACAGCTAATGTGAGATTTTCTTGGATGTCATTTCCTTACCGCGGCTGCTCTGACAAACCCATGGCTTTGTGACTCTTTCCAGACCCGATATTCAGTAGGGCACAGCATTTTAACTTTTTCCGTCCCATAGCCCACTGCAGACCTTTGCACTTGTGGTGTTCAAGAGTTCTGACTAAAGCTATGCAAGCAAATGTTTAAGAACTGCAGTAGGAAATGCAAAGTTCATCCTCAACTAGTCAAGTTCATCCTGTCTGCTAATCTCTTCTACTTAGAAAGGCGTATGGAAACAGCCTTCCTTCAGAAGTGCTTGTGTGTCCCACGTAGCACCACTGACAATTCCATTTTGTTAGGACAGGCACTCCCAAACTCTGCCCTCTAGCTGTTTTGGGTCTACAATTCCCATCATCCCTGACCCACTGGTCCTATTAGCTAGGGATGATGGGAGTTGTAGTCCCAAAACAGCTGGAGGGCCGAGTTTAGGGGTGCCTGTGTTAGGACATTTGAGGTGTATTCATGCAGCCCATGCCCCCAACATGCCTCTGTGCGCTTCCCTCTCCACCTTACGCCGAACTTGTCCATGCTACATATACATGAGTAGAACTCCCATGACCAGGAACCTGGGCAAACCAATCTCGGCTTGCTCAGGATTCACACAATGCACCTCTTTGAAAGGGCATCACATCATTGCAGTACACTGAGGATGGGGGGTGGGGATCCTTGCAGTCACAAAAGGAACTTCCCAGGCAGAATGGCCCACCCCCATGGCAAGTCTTCTCCAGCTGATCTCAATTGTGCTGAAAGGTAAGCGCACAATTTTAAATAAAGCTGACATCTACTCTTGTGCAGTTAGGCTTCCTTGTTCATCCTCCTCTGTCTAAAACAAGTTCTTCCTGGCAAAAGGAAAAGTCTTAATCTTACATGTTTCTGCTCTCTTCTAAAATCCCTTGACTATCTAGAAAGTACTTAATAAATTTTGCTACGGGCACACAGACAAAACAACAGTCCAGGCTCCCAAAGGTTGGAATTGTAGGTGAGGTTCCAAAGAGGCTGTTGCGTTGGCTGTAATATTAAGAGATGATAAACCTGGACTCAAACCCCCTGGGGATCCGAAGCATAAATTGCAAGAGTACAATATAAACCACAGTTGTTCCCTTGGAATGTGCAAGCAAATCAATATTTATCAAGTCTCACTAATGCACTTGTCAGATTAAATTCTCAAATATCCCGTTGAACATGCAGTGGGCTTATAAAATATGTAGACTTGGGCTATTTCTCCATCTCAACCGGCTGCCAACAAATGAGACAATAACATCCCAGTATGCTTTCTGTTTTAATATTCCGAACAGCTTTATTGAGGTTGCGAGCGCTTCATATCAAGGCAAGCATAGGAATAATTTTATTAAATCAGAAATATAATACTGTAAGAGAGGCCTGGTGGAATAGGCTCCTCCTGGTGATTTTCAATAATAATACTAAATCATTTATGAATTGGGTGGCTTGGTAATGTGGAGGTACCTCTGCAAAGTCACTAGGGGATTTATTAATCTTTGGCCCCCACCTTTCTTTGAAGGATCTTATATCACGACCCTTTTATCCACCCAATAACCCTGTAAGGTAGGTCAGCTTGCTGCCCTATCTCTTCAGACTGTGTCTGGAACCTTTGGGGAATATTCATCTCCATACCTGTATTTATTGGATGCAGGCTTGTAAATTGCCACTCATCCGGCTGCCTACGATTAAGGGCAACCCTCAGGCAAAGAGGGTGGCATTGCTAATTGTTTTCATTCTGACACTCAAATGTTAGCCTTGTTCACTTTCAAACCTAAACTGCTGCTACTCATTTTAGGAGCACTTGAGCTTGGCTCACACTCAGGACTAAAGGCAATGTGTGTGCAAGAAAACTCCTGAGCAATTTTGCAGCACATTTGATGGGCACAGGTGTGCATGATTTTTTTTGGGGGGGGGTGTCACAGGTGTGAGGTGGTGGGTTGGGGAGAAACTTGATGCCAATTATACTTGGATAATTCAGTGTGGTGTGATCCTTAAGACATTGGTCTAGATCCCCACTTAGCCATGCAGGTTACTGGGTGACCTTTGGCCAATTACAGCCTTCTAGCCTAGAGAGCCAGTGTGGTGTAGTGGTTAAGAGCGGTAGACTCGTAATCTGGGGAACTGGGTTCGTGTCTCCGCTCCTCCACATGCAGCTGCTGGGTGACCTTGGGCCAGTCACACTTCTTTGACGTCTCTCAGCCCCACTCACCTCAGAGTGTTTGTTGTGGGGGAGGAAGGGAAAGGAGACAGTTAGCCGCTTTGAGACTCCTTAAAGGGAGTGAAAGGCGGGATATCAAATCCAAACTCTTCTTCTTCTTCTTCTTCGAACCTACATTGCAGGGTGTTTTTTTAGGTGAGATGGAAAGATAAAATGAACAAGAAAGAACCATCTGTGCACTCTCTGGAGCAAGGATAGGATCAAAACATAATCAGATGGCAGCATGCAGGGCAAGCTGTCTGCATAACACCAATGTGCTTGTTGCTTTTTAAACTCTCGGTAACATTGTGTAAAAAAATCGGTTTGTTGAGTAGCTAGCATGAACCCTGTACCTATCTACATTTTGTAGGTACAGAATTAATGATACTTAAACCTCTTGCATGGTGCTTTGTTTATCAGAGCTGAGCAGAAATGCCGTGTAGCTGAAATATGTAGGGGCTCCCAGATCTGTCCAGTGTTGACTGCTTCTACCCACAAAGCTTTGCAACCGGTGCTTGTAAAAGAAGACATGGCACTTTCAATTCCCCTAGCGTGGGAACGGGATGCTCCCATAGGGCTAATATTCAGCAAGCCTAAACAGAGCAAAGGTTTTCTGCAAAGCTGAAATAAGCCTTGGAAACAGCTTAAAATAGCCTGAAAATGGATAGTGGGACCCTCGCTTCTTAAAGGCCTTGTTTGTTTGCAAATTCCCAAAGGTGATTCCAACATGTTTTGTATACTGGGGGGGGGGGGGGGCGTCTCTTTGAAACTGTATCTGCATCTGTGTAAACAGGCACATGCAAAACTGTACTTGCTTACGTATATTTTTTGCCGAAAGCTTTTCTATAACATGGACCTGGGAGCAGAATGTTAAAGGTGAAAGAGGTCCATTGCTGTTGGTTCCCTGTTTGTAGCTTACTTCCCATCGCCAGTGTTCTATGTGCCTTGGAAAATTTTTGCTTGACTTTCCATAGTTCCAGCACAAAAATCAGTGTGAAACTGTTTATAACCAGTCAGATGACATTCGTTCCGCAACCTGAATTTGGCCTCATTTGGCTTGTGTTTCTCGACACTTGAGACTAAATTAAAACTATGTCGGGAATGTTGTTTTCACCTAAGCTGTGCTGAACCGTGTTCCAAAACTTAACTACCAAGTAAGAACATAAAAAGCACCTGTTGGGTCAGGCCCAGCATCTTGTTTTTCTCACTGAGGAACCAGATGCCCTGAAAAACCCACAAGCACAGGACCTGAGCATCTTAGCACTCTTCCCCATTTGCATTTGCAGACATCTGCAGCACCTTTCTGCTCACCTGGGATTCTTAGCGACAGGTCTTCAGAGGCATCCTGCCTTAGACAGTGGCGGGGGTAGAAGAAAGCAACTGTGGCTGATAGCCATTGATTTTTAATTTTTATTATTGGAAAGGATTACCAATTTTAATTCTGTTTCAAATTCCAAAAACACTTTGAAGGACTCACATTCCTCCTCAACTCTCTTTGCATATACCAAACAATTCATTCAGTTTAATAAACAGGCAGTCTTGAATAAATAGATAATGTTGAATAATATGTTGCCCAGAGCCAGTCTGAAACAGTGACAAAGTTTAATCAGTATAACAAGTGGAGGTTGCAAATCTACAACTAAGTCTACCATGGTGGAAGAAACTGGGCAATTTACCCCTTCTGGCCTGAACCTATGGCCTTTGCCTGTCTTTAAATTCAGAGGCTGTATTGCCATATCTAAGTCCGTCAGTGACGGTACAGAACGCAGTCTGGGTTTTCTCTGCATGTCGCAACAGAGCTGTATGCAGTATCATACATGACCACCAAGCTGCTGCTAGAATGCGCACACCTGTTACTGCACAGGGCAGACCCCAAAAAAGGAGGCTGCCAGGTTTTCATCTAGGGCAAGCTGATAGCCATTGATAACTGTTTGTCTAATACTCTTTTAAAGCCATCCAAGTTGGTGGCCATCACTGCCTCTTGTAGGAGAAATTTCCGTAGGTTATTTTTATTTTTATTAAGGATTTTCCATAGTTAACCATGTGTTGTGTGAAGAGGTGCACTTCTTTTCCCATTCCTTGAATCTTCCAAAATTCAGCTTCATTGAATGTTCATTCATTCGTTCATTAAAATTTATATACCGCCCTATACCTGGGGGTCTCAGTTCACAGAATAAAAGCAAGATATAAAAGCACAACATGCCTAAAAGAAATAAAAACAGCAACTCAATCCCCCCCCCACCAAAGAAAGAAACATGTTAAAAGGGCATAGGATGTAAATCGGATCAACCAAAGGCCTGATTAAAGAGGAACGTTTTTGCCTGGCACCTAAAGGTGTATAATGAAGGCACCCAGGTGAACTTCGCTGGGGAGAGCATTCCACAGACTGTGATAGATGTGCCTGCTCTTGTTGCACCGTGAAGTCAAGAACTACGTACTTAATACCCATTCCAGCATCTGATTATGGACTTCTCTCTGCCACTGCCTCCCCCTCAGCTGTAGGGCAGCTGTAAGTGCCCCCCCCCCCCCGTGGTGTTTCACCCAGTGTGCCCCCCCAGCTACACCTCTGACCCATTCAAAAATCCTACAAATAGCATCCCTGAAGTTGCAGGCTTATAGGGAATGCGGCTTGTAACTGGGGAAAAATCAATAGCTTTTGCTTATCTTATCTTTTCATCTTATCTTTTCACCTCCCTTCTTCCTGCACAGGTGACTGAAAGAGAAGTTTTAGCAGGTGACTTGGCAACAGGTGCGCAGCACCTAATCGAGCTTGCACTTCCTCATTTGCAAAGCAGTTTCCTTGATAGCAGAGCTAAGTTGCCGCAAAGAAGTAAAGTCCACCAGTAATTACGGATTACACATTAACATGTCGTAATCTGGAGCTCGATGATCTCTGCCTGCCTGTGTGTGGAGTGCTCTTTCTCTCTTATTAAATGCCATGGCACAAATGGATCTGTTTAACTTTAGGAGAAGCAGCTGCTTTGCTGGTTTTATGCACCTGATGATGTAGGCTGTTGAATAGAAAGGTTTGTGCCACAGCTAGCATGTTGCTTACTCAGAGGTGCCAGATCACTTATTCCTCCTCACATATTGTAAGCATTCCATCCCCTCAATACAGCAGCCTATTTCTCTTCTTCCAAAACACAAACAATATTGGCTTGCTTCTCTGTCAGCAGTTTAACACTTTTTCTTAATAGAGCTCCCCGCTGGGTTATTGCAGAAGTGCAGCAAGGAATGTGGCGCTCTGCCCTGTTTATCCTTTACAAACCACCTGCTTTTTTGGAGAAAATACGCAGCAGTTGAGGGGATATGGCAATCTCATTTAGTGCTGTTTCTGTTCTTTTGAGGGGTGGGTATTGTTTTTATTGTTAAACTTGGTGGTGCTTTTCTTCAGTTGAGTGTGCAGGTCACCTCGGGGTGTCTTGCATCGGACGGCAAGCGTATGATCATAAATTTGGGGGAGAGCGTTGGCCGCTGCCCTAATCTAGAGAACAGCTCTAGTGCAGTGCAAGGAATCACGCTAGATTCCTTTGCCCCCCCGTTTCTGTTGCGCAACAGACCACGTGCCCTGTTTAACTTTGGCCGCAGGGAAGAAGTACAGTGGTACCTCGGGTTACATACGCTTCAGGTTACAGACTCTGCTAATCCAGAAATAGTACCTCGGGTTAAGAACTTTGCTTCAGGATAAGAACAGAAAGCTGTGCGGCGGCAGCAGGAGGCCCCATTAGCTAAAGTGGTGCTTCAGGTTAAGAACAGTTTCAGGTTAAGAACAGACCTCCAGAACAAATTAAGTACCTAACCCGAGGTACCACTGTACTAAATGGTGGCATCATAAATGAATTGGAGCATTTGACTCACAAGGGGTTTTTTGGGGGATGGGAGCGTGCACCTGGTTCCTGTCTGATTAGCATTTTGCATCCAACTGATAGCCTAAGTAGGTGTGTAGCCTCTCAGCAAAAATTATGCATGACTGCAGAGTGAGGGGGAGGAAGGTGTTGTCCCAGAACTGATGCAAGGAAAATCCATCTTACCCAGGAATGTTCTCCCTGATGTGGGGCAAGGACATGCAGATCCTACAACGCCTGCGTTCTGTTTTGTATTCATTCTTCTGGCTTGTATTCCTTGCTCCTAATAGCTCGCTGCTTATATATATATATATATATATATATATATATATATATATATGTCTCTCCCGGCACAAAACCCAGTCAGTCAGGTTATGCAATTGACATGCATGCTCTTAAAATGTAAATAACTCCTGCTATGGTGTGCAGGGAGGTGTTTGACACCGTTCCTACACACACACACACACACACACACACACACACACCGTGGTCCCAGATTTGAAGCATCTGCCCTCCCGAAAAAGCAGCAGCTGCTGGAGGAGAGGGTGGTTATTTACAACGGTGCTGTGGAATGAAAGGATGGAGCCCAGTTGCTTTTGTCCTGATCTTCCACAAGTCGCTTTTTAAAAGTGGATGATTAATTTATTAATAAATTGCTTATATACCCCTGGTTTTTCCCCGAGGAGATTGAGCTGATATGCATCATTCTTCTCTTCCTCCTATTACATTCTCACAAGAACCCTGTGAGGTAGGTTAGGCTGAGAGGTTGCGTTTGCGGAACGGTGGGTCGTATTTGGTTTGCCTCCCAGTCTGTAGAACAAGCATGGCCAAACTTGGCCCTCCAGCTGTTTGGGGACTACAATTCCCATCATCCCTGACCCCTGGTCCTGTTAGCTAGGGATGATGGGAGTTGTAGTCCCAAAACAGCTGGAGGGCCAAGTTTGGCCATGCCTGCTATAGGAGGAAGAATTGGCAAAGCTTTGCAACTGCTGAAACGTCATAACTTCCAGTCGCTTCTTGAATGGATAGAGAAAACTGAATTGTTTTCCTTTTCTCCCTCCCCACAGGGGCCATGAGTTTTTAGTCGACTTGAATGGTTTGGCACTCTATGACACGACTGAATTTGACCAGCTGAGGAGGCTGTCTACGCCTGTGTGTACAGGTTCCAACTCCAACTACTACACCATCTGGAAGTATTTCTGCAGGGATCATTTTGGCTGGAGAGAATATTCAGAGGTATTTCACCACCACCATCGCCCTTAAATTTCAGGAATAATGTTGGGGGATATGGGAAGCCTTGGTTCATGATGCCCCCCGCTGCATGGTCTTTGTTATAAATCACCATTAACTAGCCTAACCTGCTTTGCAAGATGCTCAAGGATAAATGAAAAGGCTGTGCGTAAACTGGTAGCCTTTTCTGTATCCAGAAAAATAGCTACGCGTGCAAAGTTTTGCAAGCTCACTGGGACTTCCCAAATCTACTTTGCCCCCCAAATTGCTCTTGGGTTTCTCCAGACTTTCCGGGGCAGATTTTGCAGCAGGGCACAGGTGGGTGAGGAAGAGGAGAGGAAGTATCCATTGACCAGTTCAGGGCTAGTCAATGTTATGCACTCCAGATGTGGCTGGACTCTCAAGTCGCCCCAGCTCCAACCAGTATAGCCAATGGTCAGGGATGATGGGAGTTGCAATCTAGCAACAGTCAGATCTTGGGGAGTGCTGGGTTGGCAGGAAAACTCTTGACATGTTTGCAGAAACAAGACCTTGCGCAACTGCTCACTGATTGGCCCTTCAAGGAGCACCCAAGTGATGCTTAACACCGTTAACTTTCACGAGAGAGGTTTAAATATGCCTGCGTCCTCTCCTTCTGGAAGCTGAAGACTGCAAAGGCCATTCAATTTAATCAGCTTCTGCTCAGTTGTTCCAACTTTCATTTCAGTGTGACGGAAAGGTGGAGGGGGGGTGGTTGTGAACCATAATCCTTCAGGATAATGCATATAGCGGTGCTTAGCACTATCTTTAATGACAGCAGAACTGGAAAACCCTGCCATAAAAAAACCAAAAAACAGTGGGGGAAACCAAAGTTTATTTGCACCGGTGGTGTGGATTATTAAATATTTACTTAGGTTTGTTTGTTTGTTTTTTTAAAAAGCCCGTTGTGCGATTGATAGAAGAAGCCAACTACCGAGGGCTGGCAGAGGTCCGGTTTGTTACGTGGCACAACCGTTACGTCCTGAACATTAAAGATGGCTTCCAGCAGAATTCGTGCATTCGAAGAGAAATCAAGAGGAGACCTTTCTTCCGCTCCTGTGTGATCCTCATGCCATACTTGCAGTAAGTGATGGGACTCCCTTTTGGCAGCGACCGTTGTTGTGGGGCAAATGGACATGGGTGAACCCCCTACAACCCCTTTCCTAACGCTGGAGTGCCCATGTTTCTTTACTGAGATGTCTTGACTTACCCAAATGTTAATGAATGGAGACCTTCTGATTTTTTTCAGAGGGCTTAACTGCATAGGATCATGCTTTAGGTGCACCTAACCCCATCTATTACAGCTCCCTCTGACTTCGTAGATGTCCTTGCAATCAGTTGTTCTGGATTCCGTTAAGGGAATGCTGAACACCTGCATTTCAGTTGCACTACTATTTATCCAACTTCTGTGTATGACCTCTGTGCTTACCATACTCTCTTCTAGGTCCCCTAGCTGTATTAAGGGAATTTCTGTTCTGATATTCCTTGCGTTACTTCCCCAGCACTGTATAGAAGATGGTCAATAAGGGGAGCAGCTCTGGAAATTTTGCATTAGTGGGCAATAACAGAACCAATCACTATGACAGTTCATCAGGCCTTTTAGGATTGGATAATAATTCCCAGGAGCTGGTGCCTGACCCTGGGGAGGCTCCTGTCCTTTTTGAAATCTGCTTGTTGATGCTCTGTTGGTCAGAGGAATGGTATTGGGTGGGGTTTTGCCTTCACCCCACATTATAGAGGCTTAGGAGCCCTGTTGGTGGTGGGCTGGGCTACCTGGCTAGCTCCCTAAGAGGCGAACCTCCTTTAGTATGGGTAGTTGCCGCTTCAAAATTAGTTAATGGAGGAGCAGCTATGACAGTCTGTTCATAGGAATCACAAGGTCTTATAGCACCTTTAAGGACCAGCTGTTATTGCAGCTTTTGGGAATATAACCCTTCATCATATGCATCCCTTGGGTTCTGCTCCACAAGACTTTTAGGTCAAAAGACTTGCGTGTGGTTTGAAACTACCAGAAATTCAGCAGGAATAAAACTGATCTAGGGTGCTTCCTGCAACTGGAAGTAGAATGGCAACTTTGATTCCAGGCTTCTAACTAGCCAAGTGGGCATTGCCCCTTCCCCAAATGTTGGAAGGGGAGGTAGTTTCTCCACCCCCCCTTTCTTTCATTGGGCCATTATGCGTTTGGGGGAGAATTAAATACTCCCTTTCCCCTCACTGTACTTCTGGTTGTCCTCTACAGTTTGAGGGAAACAGAACGGAAGGAAATGCTGTAAAGGCGCAATGCCATTTGGAAATTGAAAAAATTAGTAGTGAACAGAGTTGCTTCCTAGAGAGGAGAGACAGACCATAGAGAGGAAAGCGGCTAGAGCAATCTGATTGGTCAGAACATCGGCACAGTGGGCCTTTTACACATGGGGAAACTGTGCGGAAATTCCATTGAGCTTATATATATATAATCTGTGGTTTTTTTCCTGAACTCTGTGAAGAAGAAAAGGAAAGGGAAACCGGGGGGGGGGGGGGAGGAGACACACCTTGTTCACAACTCTGTACAAAGAGAGTGGAAAACATGCCTCTTTCCATTAAGTGCCTAGTGCAGTAGCAGCCTTAATGAAGTCCATTGCTGCCAACTGTACCCTGGCTTTGAACACCTAGTGTTCGGGTTTTAAATACACGGAAGTGTGTTCCGTGGTCTGTGCTCGTGGGACCTTCGTGCTGGCAGCTTAATGTTCCGGGAACTGTGTCTCCTTCAGGTGACACTCTCCATCATAGGAGGGGTAGGATTCCTCACCCGGGACTGGCTTGAGCAGATGCAGGAATGATCACTAGGACAGGTCATACGCATCAAAAACATGCTGTGTTTCTGCAGCCCAGTGAAAAATTCCACGATAACTCTGTGTCCGTGGATCCCAGTAATATTATCATACGAGCTGCTGCTATTCCAATGGTCCTTTTGCCCCTAGCTTTCTAAATTAAAAACTTAGGCTTGAAGGTATAATGGTATATCATGCGATTGTTCCCAAGTATGACCCGCAACCTAGATAACTATGATGTTCCTCCTCCAGTCCCAAGAGGCAGTGTGCTTCTGAATATCCATCGGCTGGAAACTACAGGAGGGGAGAGTGCTGTTGCACTCATTTATTTAATTTTATTCGTTGAATTTATATCTTGCCCTATATCTGCAAGTCTCCCGTGGGCACCTGGTTGGCCACTGTGAGAACAGCATGCTGGACTAGATGGGTCATTGGGTCGATCCAGGAGGGTGGTTCTTATAGTGAACAGTTGCCCTGCTCCAAACAAAAGAAATCTTGTTTCCAAATACTTCTAAAAGTACATATTCATATTACTATTTTGTTGTTGTTGTTGTTGTGTTGATCCAATATCCCAATTTCTCTCCACCCTAGGACTCTTGGTGGCAGCCCCACAGTACCCGTGGTGCCGACAACTGACTCGCAAGTCTTATCCCCGACTGCCGTTACCTCTCCAAACTTCTACCCTGAAACGTGGGTCAGCATGGATCCAGCTCAGGACTTTGTCCAAGTGCCTGTGTCAAAGGAAGACAAAAGCTACAGAACCATTTACAATCTCTTTCATAAGACTGTGCCAGAGACCAAATACAAAATTTTGAAAATACTGCGAGTTCAGAACCAGTTTTTGTGGGAGAAGTATAAGAGGTGAGCCAACACGTATAATAACAGTTCTCCTCCGCCTTATTAATTGGGGAAAACCTCACCGCTTTCGTTGGGGGAGGATTGTTGAGTTGGACGTCATCTGGTCCAACCAGCTGCATATTGCAGGAAATCCAGTACTGCAACGTCCCTGTAAAATGAATTTGCCCAGTTGTGAAGTGCAGTTTTATTGTTAATACAAAGTGTAGGGGGGTCTGCAGATCCAGTTTGTTAAAAATGAGTAGCTGTTTTAGCAAGTTGTGTACACAATCGAAAACACTCGAGTTGTGGGAGCATGTTTGATTCTGGCTCTTCATTGTTAGGAATTCTAGCAAAAGCCCAGAAATTCCTCTGAAGCACCCAGAGAGCTGTCACTTCCTGTTCTACCATTTTGGGGTTGGTTGGTGGTTTTTGTTTTGTTTTTTTTAGAAAGGAGAAGTCCTTTTGTTGAACCTGGCAGCTCAGGACTTTGAGGAGTAATTCTTCCTTTTGGAGAGCTCTTAAAAGTGATCAGTTTGAATTGAAGTTTGCTGGCCTCTTTCTAAATTTGCTAAACCGGGGACACATTTTGCTGCAAGGGAGACTAAGGCAAAACTATGTGGGGTGGGGAGGCGGCCCATCTTCCAGTCTAGGTGGAGTGTTTTACCTGTGCATCAGAAAACCAACTAAGTTTGTTATTGGTATGAGCTTTCGTGTGCATGCACACTTCTTCAGATACACTGAAACAGAAGTCACCAGATCCTTATATATAGTGAGAGGGTGTGGAGGGGTATTACTCAGAAGGGTGGTGGGAATGGGTGATTGGCTGATAGGTGTGGTAAACCTGTTGACAGCTGTTAACAGTGACTTCTGTTTTCCCGCTTCCAGGAAAAAGGAGTACATGTGTAAAAAGATGACAGGACTGGACCGGATTATGAACGAAAGACATTTGTTCCACGGCACCTCGCAGGATGTGGTCGACGGAATCTGCAAGCATAATTTTGACCCCCGGGTCTGTGGGAAGCATGCCACCATGTTTGGGCAAGGCAGCTACTTTGCCCGCAAAGCCAGCTACTCGCACAACTTCTCCAAGCGCTCTCCCAAAGGGATCCACTATATGTTCCTGGCTAAAGTCCTGACGGGGAGGTACACTGTCGGCAACCACACCATGCGAAGACCTCCGCCCGTCAACCCCAACAGCATCACCAGCGACCTCTACGACTCCTGCGTGGACAACTACTTCGAGCCTCAGATCTTCGTCATTTTCAACGATGACCAGAGCTATCCCTATTTCGTAATCCAATATGAAGAAGTTAGTAATGTCGTTGTGATCTGAGAACAGAATCCGGGGGGGGGGGGCGGAGTGTGTGGAAAAAAGAGAGAATTGCTTCATGTTGATTTGTTGTTGTTGTAACAACCTTTTTTTAACCTGATATTTGTAGAATTGGATCCCTTTTGCTGCGGAAGGGGGAAAAGAAACGATTGCGGAACTCTGAATAAAGATGCTAAGGGGCTAGGGAGGGCGGGGGCAGAAAAAAAAGACATTTTTAAAACTCCTGAAAAAGACCAATTGTGCACTTGCTATATTCTGTGCAAACTGTAAATATTTTTCCATTGTTTATAGTCGAGGGGAGAAAAGAAAAACCTGTGCCTTTTGTTATAAACACTATTTATGTTAGTAAACTTAATGTTTTGAAAAAAGAACCTTGACGTGTGCGTCTTAAATGCTTATTTGTAGTCTTGCTTGCCTGGTTATGCTTGGCACCATTCTCAGGCTGCCAATGTTTGCTCCTTGGCTCCATGCTGCAAATTGTTCTTCCTGCTGATTTGTGCAAATCAAGCTGCTGTTCAAGGCACAGGGATAGCCTAGCCCAGCTTTCCTTCTTCCTGGGCAGCTGACATTCCATGCCAAGCCCAAAGAGCAGAAAAACCCGCAGAGAGGAGTTTTCTTGGTTCAGATGCTGCTGCAAAACAGCCTCTGCTAGCAATCCAAGTTCATATGTCAATGTTAAACCTCTTGCTTATAAAGCATTGCTGCTTCCGTCTTCTGCCGCCTCCTAGCACAAAGATTTCTCAAACTTGAATTTAGGTTGTGGCCACAGCAGTGATATCCCATACAAGTCTCTGCAGGTAGCATCTGGGAAACACATCTCCCCCTAGAGCAAGGGTGGGGAAGCTCTTTTCCCGCAAGGCCACTTTCCCCCCAAACCATGCTCACCCCCCGAGTGACGTCAGCTGATGGGCTGCGTTCAGGCCTGCTTTGTGTGCTCATGTTCTTTGCAGGGAATGTGCTGGTGAAGCAGAACTTGCTCCCGTGCATCAACCTTTGACAGGCGGGCCAGCACTGAAGGTGATCTCGAGTTTGCATGAATGAGTGAGAGCTTGATTTTGGCGCCTTTAACTAGGACCCGTTAAAGCTAGTGAATTGCCAGCATGTAAAAACCGGGCATTGGGCTGGAAAAGTCCAGTTTCAGGGTTGGAGGGAAGCTCCATGTGGGCAGCTGATGAGAATGAGAAGTGAGTCCAGAAATGAAGAAGTCATCGCACAGCCTGCTAGCATGAGGTTGGCATCTTGTTCATCGCCTGAGAGCAGCATAGAGAAGTGGGTGCCTCTTTGCTGTGAGAAAAATGTGGAAGCGGTACCCTCGACAAGGAGGAGACCCTGTGTGGTCTGCGCTCGCCGTTTTTCGCAGGTTCTGCGCCATTTCCCAGGACCAACAGTTGGTTTACATGCAACTCCAATCTTAGATAATGAAGAGCTCATTTTGGGTTTTGACTTGGGTAACTTAAGAACAATATGCATTGCTCACAGCATGCAGGGAAATTTGTTGCTAGCTGTGTGAGACGGGAGTGCAAATGAAATATGGCCTATGCCACTGAAAATCTATAGCAAAGGGGGTGGTTTGGACCCAGATCTAATGCAATCCAACCAAGAAAAAGCATAGGGCTTAATCTTGAAAAAGGAACTGCTTCATTTTAAGTTAATGATTTTAAAATTCATAAAGTGAAAACAATTGCTGCACCTTTAGTAAGTTTTTGATCAGGCTATTTATCATTCTGCCTGGTGCATAACATTAGGTTTTCTTTTGCAATCAGGGAAAAAAAGAAGATTGTGCAGCTCTTGGCATTGTGGAACCTGTTGTCTCCCTCAGCTGAGTAATGCATTTCCAACTGTGCATTAATTAGCACTGCTGGTGCTTGGATCAATCCAATTTGAGCAATGCGGGTGCTGAGAGGACGGTTACACAATAATGCACAAAAAGGGTTTCCGTCTTACAGAAAAGCAGAGGTGGCCTGAGATACCTGGCTGGCTGAGAACAGAAAATAGTGTCCAAGGCCTCGCAAAGTATTTTGGGACCAGATGCACAGAATCCCACAATTTCTTTCCCCACTTCTCCCCGGCAGGAAAAATACATTTTTCTGCTCTAATGATACCCAAAATCAGCTGCCAAGGGTGGCAACTTCACTTTTCCTCCATCAAAGGGCCTGTGCTTGCAGAAAAGTATGGGGTTGGTAAAGCAGTGAATTAAGCCCCACCCAAAAACAGAGGATGCAGATTTACATAAAATTTGCACCTTTTCATTGGTATGTGTATATGCAAAATTAGAAATTATCACTACAACTCGAGTAAAAATCCAATGCATACAAGGGTGAAGCTGTGAGCAAGTATACTTAGTCTGCTGCCCAGGAGCTAACAGCTGGCAACTTTCAGGCACCTGTGTTCCCTTCCTGGAAATCTTTATTTTTCAGCCATACACAGAGAAGACTCCTTCAAAGAGAAAATTGCCCTCTGTAAAGCAGGACACATTGTCAGTTCCATGACTGGTTGCATTTCAGACCATTTTGATACTCCGGTCTGGTTTTCTAACCCATCCGTAGCAGGCGAAGATTATCTTCTGTCTAAGAGCCCAGAATTTGCATTGTGGTTGTTCAAAGTATGAGGTGAGGCGAGAACTGTTTGCAGCAAGCCGCTATCTCATTCTCGGCTCCACCTCTGCCCATAATCTTCGGTTGAGGAGTTTACGGGGCAAGTGCAAACTGTTAAAGAGCCAAGCATGGGTGGAAGTTGCCTCCCACACATACCTTTAGAGCAGTGGAAAAATCGCTTTGTTGTGGCTCTGGAAAAATGGCACGGTTGGGCATGTGCAGAGCAGAGGTCCCGCCACTTTAACCACAGTACCATTCTCAGCTTTGCAAAGAGCACCCAAGAAGCTGTGTTCGAAACTCCCATTTTTCTAGGCACATTTTGCAACAGGGAATTTCATTAACTCAAGCAGTTTCTGAGCTCTGGGCACAGTACTGCACCTAAGGTTTCAGATTAAAATTGCAGAGTGGAAGGAAAGGAGGACCTTTTTCTGCCTCCCCACTTCCAGCTACTCTCTGAAGGCTGGAGAAGAGACCCTGTTAAGAATATTAGGGGGGTGAGCAGGGGAAGGACTAGACCATGTGAAAAATGAACATAATACTTTAGCTGCCATTCATTCATTTCCAGCTTGTATTCTTGTTATAAAAAAGCATGCCTGGACATTCCATTGTTGCGCCCATAATCTAGGCATAAGGTGCCATTTAGCTCCTAGCTTTCATATCTCAGTTTCTAACCCTGCCAGGAATATCAGGTGCAAGAGAACCCTTCATTTTCATGTCTTGTCACTTCCTGTTTAAGGAGACCAACTAGGGTGGGGAGATGTATCCAAGGACCCTGGAGCCAACAAAGCTTAGAGGTGGGTTGGGTGAGAAGACACACCAAATAAGTATATTATATTTATCTTGCCTTATCAGCAGCTGCCGCAGTTCTGTTTCTGAGCAGACCTGGCCTTAATCAATAGGCAATTCTGGGTAGCTTCCTACATCAGCACGTTGAGCAAAACTGCAGCACTCTCCCGATGAGTGTGCTTCAGCTGCTCAAGAACAGCAGGAGGAGCAAGGGAAGGACAAAGGGATGGACTCAAGAAGCTCCAGAAGCAAAATAAGCAGCACGTCTGAGGAACTGACTTGCACACTGTACACAGAAAGCTTGACTGGGGAAGCTGTTCCGATCAGAGAGCCACCTTCCCTCCTGGGCAGCTTTCTGGGGGCCACATGCAAGCAGGGTGTGTCTCCTGAGTTCAAAGTGGGCCAGGCCAAAGGGAACAGTGGGCGGAGCAATCTATGTGACTATCAGCTACATTCCAGCTACACAAGTCAGAGGTTTCTATACAGTCATACCGTGGGTTGAATATGCTTCAGGTTGAGCGTTTTCGGGTTGTGCTCCGCAGCGACCCAGAAGGAATGGAGCGCGTTACTTCCGGGCTTCACCGCTCGCGCATGCGCGGAAGCGGTGAATCACGACCCGCACATGCGCAGACGCGGGTTGCATTCACTTCAGGATGCGAACGGGGCTCCGGAATGGATCCCGTTCGCATCCAGAGGTACCACTGTACACACAAACACAGGCTCCTCATCATCAAGAGGCATTATAGGAACATAGTGTTGGGATGCGTCCAAGGGCACGGGGGCAATACGCAGGCCCCCAGCTGGGTCGAGCCCACCGGCTGGCAGCCGGGCAAACGCCGGTCCTTTGGAACAGCATCAAAAAGTGACTCAAAGCTTCAGAAGCCTTCAGAAACTTGAGCACGCCTTAACCAGCAGGGTGAATAACACGCAACAGAAGTGGCGGACAGAGGCATATGTAAAGCATATTTACAAGCAGTTTATTCAGCATACTTCAGGACAAAGAAAACATGTCTGCTCTCTTTCATGTCCAAGAGCAGGAAGCACTAAACAAAAGCTATACACAAATGGAAGTTCCCAGCAAGCTGTGCTGGAATGTAAACAGACATGTGACATACAACAATCCACATATCTAATACATAGGATGGGTCCTTGGTTCATCTAGCTTAGCACCGGCTGGCAGTGGCTCACCAGAGATTCAGGCAGGGGTCTCTCACCCAGTCTTACCTAGAGATGCTGAAACTGGGATCTTTGCATGGAAAGGAGATGCTCTATCTACTAACTACAACCCTTCTTTCCCTGAATCTCAGTTCAAGGACACATTTCAGGCAGGCAAAAGGACTCAGGGAATGTGGGCAATGGACAAGATTTGGGGAGGGCTGGATAGAGACATCTGGAGGGCTGCATATCTCCACCCCACCAGGCCTGAGGTGCCCCACTCTTGCAGTAGGCAATAGGACAAAGCCCCCCCCCCCCAAGAAAAAAGTATATCAGGAAGAAAAGAGGGTGTAAAGAGTCTTTCATAAAGGGGAGCATTCCAACTGCAAAGACATGAACATTTTGAAGAGGTGCCATTGGGCAAAAGACTGGCGACATGTTGCTGCTGATCATGTAGTTTGGCTCTCAGGCAAAACAGCTGGAATGTACAGGCTCCCAAGGTGTGGTAGGAGAGACTGACCAAGCAGGACCATTGAGGAAATTAGCTTTAAAGGGAAATTGGGGGGGAGGGGGAGACCAGAAACGAACAAACAAATCCAACACAAAATGATGTATTTGGGATACATTACACTTGTTCTTCATGTATTATACAAACACACATCTGGAGCTACTAAACTTAATGGATACATCTGTTGATGCAGATGTGTGGCATATGAGGCCAGGGCTTAACTAGAGCAGGATCCGGTCCCATTCCTACACATTTTTCAGATTCTTGCTTCCTCTCATGTGCACGCACACTTCTTCACGTTAGCTATAGCCCACATTCTTTCAAGCCG